CTCCAAATAGAAATGAAAAAGGGCCAAATAATTCACAGCTTCCCCTTCCACCGAGACCTTTAACCAAGGAAATACTAATTTAAAGACCTGTACAGCACACCACTGCCTAAAAATTGCCCACGCATCACCTTCATCCTATCAGCAGGGGTGAAAAGCTGTGGCTGGCCCGATACTTTCGGACTGCAAATCCCATCAGCCCCAGCCATCATGGCTAGGGATGCTGGGAGACAGAGTCCCATGTCTCCAGGATGGGTGTGCTTCAGTAGCTTATGGGCCATTTATGTCTTTAAGGACTGCTTGTGTTTTTACTCTGTTTTTACTTGGTTTCATTAGCTGTCCAGAATCATATATATGATATATATTGGGGTGGGGGGGCACAGAAATAAATAAATAAATAAATAAATAAATAAATAAATGGTGCGCAAAGGAGAGGCTACAAAGCGTATAAATGCTCTGGATGGGCTAATGGGCCTGTGATGACTTTACTTGGTCTCCCAAGGCTCTGAGAAGGAACGCAGGGTCCGACTTGGTCCTCTGGCAAACCCAGGACGGATGGACCCGGCTCAGGATGGTCCTTGCCGCATCCCCCAAAACCCTCCCGCCCACTCCTCCCCGGCCCCTCCCATCACCTGATCTGGCTGGACTCCTTCTTGCTCTGCTTCTTCTTGCAACAGCGGACGAGTCCGACAATGAGGCAGATGAGAAGGACCAGGAAGAGCAGCGAGCCGAGCACGGCCCCCACGATGATGGTCACGAGCTGGGAATCTGGAGGAGGAGGAGAGGGAGCAGCATGAGGACCCCGCAGCAAGGTGCCGCTGGCTGGAAGGGGCTGGCTTGTGCCCAGGGTCCTGAGGACTGGTGGCTGGTAGCGGTAGCCCAAGGGCCCCACAGAGAAACATCCTGGCTACATTTCCTAATTTAGCTGTGATTTTGAGTATCTTTCTAGAAAATCTGATGTTGCTTTTCTCATGTCTTCTTTCTCTGAAGACTTCACTCTTCTGAAGATGCCACCCCAGCTGCGAAATCAGGATAGAAGAAATGTAGACTATGGCCATTCAGCACTTCACTGATGCCAACCATTAATCCCTCCCTCCCTCCCTCCCTTCCTTCCTCTGTTTGTCTCTGTCTGTCTGTCTGTCTTTCTCTCTCTCTCCTACCTTTC